AGTCTCTGAGTTGGCTTGATGACTCTTCTCATTCTATCTCTTACCAATAGGTAGTCATCGACAGTTTCCTCAACTTCCTCAGTATCTTCTGCTTCTTCTTTGACTTTATCTAGGATACACAATTCAACATCAACATGCTCCACCTCAACAGGAATCTCTCCCTGTTCCAGCTCTTCGTCAAATATTTCTGCACTTCAATCAACATCATCAGTTTTCTTTAAAGCCATTTCAACTTCATTGAAAACTACATATCGACTGGTAATAATCCTCATGTGACCTGGCTCTAGGCACCATAGCCTATAAGCTTTGACTCCTTCAGGGTATCCCATGAACATGCATTTCAGAGCTCTAGGTTCGACCTTGTCTTGCCTAATGTTAGCATAGGCCACACAACCAAATACTCTCAGTTTGTCGAGATCTGGTGGATGTCCTGACCATAATTCTTCAGGTGACTTCATATCTAACACAATCGAAGGACATCTGTTTATCAGATATGTTACCGTCGAAACAACCTCAGCCCAAAACACCTTCTTTAACCCAACACTAGTCAATATGCATCTAACTCTCTCCAAAATAGTTTGATTAAACCTTTTAGTCAAACCATTTTGTTGTGGAGTACTTGCAGTAGTTATGTGCCTTGCAATACCAGAAGTAGCATAAAAACTGTTGAAAGCCTCATTACAAAATTCAAGGCCATTTTTGGTTCTTAATCTCTTAACCTTTCTGCCAGTTTGATTTTCGACCAGAGTCTTCTAACTTTTGAAATTCTCAAAAGTTTTATCCTTAGTCTTCTGGATGAATACCCATAACTTTCTGGATTAATCATCTACTATGGATAGAAAATACCTTGCTCTTAAATGTGATAGACACCTTACAAGCCCCCAAAGATCAGCATGGATGTAATCAAGGGATCCATATATTCTTTGTTTGTCTTTGTTGAACTTCACTCTACAAGATTTTCCAAGTACACAGGGTTCACAAAATTTTAGCTTTTCGACTTTGTCTCCACCAAGAAGATTTTGTTTCCCCAATTCGACCATACCCCTTTCACTGACATGGTCTAATCTCATGTGACAAATTTTTGTTTTTGACAAAGGTTTCATGGATGCAATATTTGTCGAACCACTCGCAACTTCAACCTCAAGGGTATACAAGCCTTGTTTCTTCATGCCTCTCAAGACTTTCTTCGACCCCTTCACGACTCTTAGAATGTTTTTATCTCCCTGGAAAACATATATTTTCTTGTCGAATTCACCAAGAGAAATTAGATTTCTCTTCAAATCAGGTACATACCTGACATCAATCAACAACTTTATTGACTCATCATGGAGCTTGAATCTCACAGATCCAACACCTTAAATCTTGCATGCTTTGTTGTTTCCCAACAATACAGATCCACCGTCTTGATCACATAATTCCCCAAACAAATATTTGTTTGGAGTCATATGCCAAGTGCAACCTAAATCTATAATCCACTCTTTTCTTTAGTCGCTGCTTGAAACCACAAGAACATCAGATGACTCGAAATCATCTTGAACAATGGATGCATTTCCATTATTCTTACCCTCATGATCTTTCATGCGTTCAGGACACACCTTTCTTGCATGACCCTTCTTCTTACAATGATAGCATCAAATACCAGATGTTTCCCCACTATAAGATTTCTGCTGACTTTTACCTTTATTCTTGTCGAACTTACGATCATTTCGCAAGAATTTTCTCTTAACAGCCAAAACTTCACCAATCGTCGAAGGTTTATGCTCCTTTCATTCGTTCAAGTCCTTAGAATACAAGGTTGATTGGACTTCTTCAAAGGTCAAGGACTCCCTTCCATACAAGAGAGTTTCTTTGAAGTGAGCATGTATTCTGGGCAAAATGAAAAATAGCAACAACGCTTGATCTTCATCATCGATCTTCACATAAATATTTTCAAGATCAAGAATCAGCCTGTTGAACATATCCAACTGCTCAACTAACACTTTATCTTCAATCATCTTGAATGAATACAAAGCTTGCTTCAGGTAGAGTGGATTTACCAACGATTTGATCATGTACAAAATTTCAAGTTTCACCCATAACCCTGATGTCGTCGTCTCTTTTGATACCTGTCGAAGAACTTTATCACCAAGGCTCAACAAGATTGCGATGTGAGATTTCTCTATCATGGTTGTCTTTTCCTTTTCTGTTAACGCAACATCCATGGCCGACACTCCGTTCAAGGCTTCCAAACAACCTTGTTGAACCAGTAGGGCTTTCATCTTCAAGCGCAACAGACCGAAATCGTCCACTCCAGTGAACTTTTCAATATCATACTTTGTTGAAGGCATCTTCTCCACGCTCACTGTACAAATTTGTTGTGAAACACGATACCTTTGAAACAAAGTATAACAAGGTTCTTCAAGACAAAAAATCCACAAGGATAGAAAATAATGAAAAACACGAAGAACAACAAGGATTGGTTATTAACGATTATTCTTTACTTTCTCTTCAAACAAGATTACAAGTACACAAGAATAACAAATAACCCTCTCACCCTAAATTAGGATTTGCAGTATGCAATGATGAGAGACTAATATGCTATTTATAATAAACCTAACATACTAAACTAATGAGTTTTTTTCACAAATATCCATTACAAGCTAACTTAGGGTACACGCTAACTTAAACAATTGGACATAACAAACAGGTCCAATTTGAAATACTAACAACCCTAGCATTTCGACACCCACATACTAGAACACACTTCGACTACAGTATGTAGGTCTTCGACACTAGCATGTGAACATACTTCGACGACATGCATAGATTTTGTCAAATCAGAAGCTACTTTCCGACTCAATAGAGTTCGATCCAATATCTCACATTAATATTTAAGTAATTCTTATAATTCATTAACAAATACAGATATTCTCGGGCATGGTATCATTAAACCACTATCCATATTCATTATTAAACGAGTACTTAAATATCTATTTATTTTATCCGTGGATATCTATTAAATTATCTGTCCCGTATCTCTGACAAATTTTATCCGTAGATATCCGCGAATACGAATTTTTTTTATCATCTCTAATTTAAATAATATATAGACTAAATATATTAATCAATAAATCTAAAAATAATTTTTTTTATAAATAAAATTAGATATAATCCTAAATTTCAATAGTCCTTATAAAATAATTATTTATTTACCATTTATATTGTCAAAGAATCTATGACCAAACGGCATATTCATTTACTCTCCCATCAATAAATAGAAAAACTTTTTTTTTTGACCATGATAACAATTTTATATATATTATCAATAAAACATAAGAGTTAAAAATAATATATTATTAGTGTAAAAATAGTTTTACACTTTTATATAATAAAAAATATATAATTTTATAGTGTCAATTAATTACAATCATATATTCTATTAAATTATTATTTTATTTAAAAAAAAGATTTAATGACATGGCAGACTTATGATCTTCTATTGAATTATTAGTGCATATCCATTAGACCGTAATTAAATGATTTTATTTTATTAAGTATTTATTTAACAATGAAGTATTCATGATAAAATCAAATATAATATAAAATAATAAAAGATAAAAGAGATAAAATTAAATATAATAAATATAAAATAATAAAAGAGAAAAGAGAGTTTTCTGCCCACAGTTACAAAATCCATCAAAATCCATAGCAGTAGAGACTCGTTGGAAACGACACTCTCACTTCTCTTTATATACCAAAATATCTTCTTCATCTTCTTCCTCCTTCCTTTCATTTCGATCACCATTTTCCTCTTCTTCCTCCTCATCGCCATCACTGTAAGTACCAAAATACCCCTCTCTCTCTCTCTCTCTCTCTCTCTCTCACTTACTTCCATTATCATTTCTCTATTAACTCGATTCATACTCTACTTATGCTACGAAACCTTCGATCCTCTCTAATCATGCTTCATTTTTCGAGCTTTTTCTCCTAACTTAAACCTAACTTTTTACTTTCCTTTCTCAATTTCACTTTTTCTTACTTACATTTTACCGATTTTACTCTACGCATAATTCAATTCTATTAATCCAAAAATTTCTACTTAGTTTTTGTTCTTCCGTCGAAATTTGATGCTTTATTGTTTCACTGGTTGCAATTTTATCTGATTTTCAGCTTATGCTACCATGTTCAATATTGTTAAATTATTCTGAAACTTTTTTTCTTCTTTCTGTTTTACCTTTTCAGAATAATGATTATATATTTGGCAATATTGCTGATACTGTTCATTTGAGCTTATCTGATATAGTTGGTGTGATTGTGACTTTTTTTTTTGTCTCTATTATTATAACAATAAGAACCCCTTTTGTTTCACTCATGAGTTTCTCATTTATACTTTAGTATTATTTAACTATTATTAGGTTTTGTTATAATAATATGGATTTGGGTTTATCATATATCTACTTTTGTTAGCTTCCTACTTAAATATAGTTTTGTGGTTATTTTTGGTTAGATAGATAGGAACATGGCATGTGAATGTGGAATTAATGGTGTTCTATTCAAATGTTTGGTTGGTTTTAATGTTTTTTAAAGAAATCAAAACTGTGTGTTTTTAGACATTTTTTTGTTGGTGTACCTTCTCTCTTAGAGGTGGAAATAGTTGTTTATTTTGATGGAAATGAAGCACATACTCTTCATGTTTAAACAACTTGAAAATTGGCTAGGTAGGCTGGTTCTGTTCACATACATCTCACCTACCAAAATTCGGTGTCCTGTCTTAATCACTTAACTAATAGGAAGTTCTAAAGTTTTAGTTTTTCTGAATCACTTAAATTGTCTTGTGGTGGTGGTGTTTAGGATTTATAAGATAACACGAGTTTCTTGATCTGGATAGAATTTTGTAGTTTCAAAGAACTTCTCCTTTGGTGATTTAAAGACTGATTTAGGAATCACTTATAGTTTTTGCATTTATACTTTTTCTTTTCAGATTCAGGTACTAATCTAAGAGCTTTGTAAGACTAAAGAACATGGCTTTAAATCAGTATTTTGCTGAGGGTGTGAACCAAATTGATTCATTGGAAGATAAATCATCTCAGGAAATATGGAAATGTTCTGGTGCTGAAGCGATTTCAGGTTCGAGTGGCTTTGACTGCAACATATGTCTGGAGTGTGTGCAAGATCCGGTGGTCACTCTTTGTGGCCATCTCTACTGCTGGCCCTGCATTTACAAATGGCTTAACCAAGCTCAAGAGAAGCACAAGGAAAAGCCGCAATGTCCAGTATGCAAATCAGAAATTTCAAAATCATCACTTGTTCCGCTCTACGGTCGCGGCCAAACCTCACCGCCTTCCAAAGGCAATGCTCAGCAAGTGAGTAGTGTCATACCGCCGAGACCGCCTAGTCTTTCGTGGATGACTAACTTACCAAGATCACTCGATGCTGCAACTGTTTCACAAAACACTTCTCAGGTTTATCATCCTCATTATCATAATCATACTCAACGAGGCTCTTCACCAATGCTTAACACTGGTGGTTCACTGACCAATCCATTGGATACAAGTTATGGTGTCTTTGGTGAGATGATATATGCGAGAATCTTTGGAAACCAAGTGACAGACATTTATACATACCCGGATTCTTACAATCTTTCGGGGATCAGTAATCCTAGGATCAGAAGACATTTGAGGCGAGCTGATAAGTCACTTGGTAGAATCTGTTTCTTCCTCCTTTGTTGCACAGTTTTGTTTCTTCTCTTATTTTGACTGCAGTTCTATATCTTGTGCGTGCAATACAATTATACAACTCTGTATAGAATATATGTGGGACGCCGATTTAGTTAGATGTAATGATGTATCATATGTATCAGAGAAGTTGCATGTTTGGTACCTGCTGAGATAGGTTATAGGTATAATTACCTGTCTCTCTTTAAGTTATTTGAAATGGATGTTCATGTTTCAATAAGTTTGCATCTGTTTTATTTTGGCTTTCAGCTTGTGAATTGTTATAAGCTAATCTGTATTTTCCAGAAGTTCAAAGCAATAAATGTTTGCATTAGTTTGCAATTGTAATTCATGTTTAGCTTTCAGCTTGTTATAAACTCTTGCTAGTAAAATTTCATCTTGGTCTTCTAGTTTTAGATTGGGAGTCCAGTAGGCAAAGGGAAGGGAGATGTTTAAAGCAATGTTTAGCGAGAGCCGGCAGATTCAGCTTGTTGATTAGGGAACTGGCCAATTTACAAGTTGGTTTGATCTCGAGTGCGGGTTTGAAACTGTAATTTTTCATTCTTTAGTATTTAGTACGTGTGTCTTTTGCTGCGATGTTCTTAAGAGCAAAAATAAATAAACTCATGCAATGAGATTAATCTGTTTATTTTTGTAATCTATATAAGTCGCATAAGATTTTTAAAAAGTGAAATAAAGAGAGAAATGACATTAAATAGTAAACTTAATTTAAAGTTTAAATAACACAACTCTTCAAACAACAATTTCTTTTGAAGTTTAGAGAGATACTTGTAGTTTTATAGGAAGCTTTTGTTGAAATGTGGGTACAGGTTGTTAAGACATCCTTTTCAAACTCTGGTCTATAAGGAAAAGAAAATGTGGATAGTAGGATTACTTATCGTTACCAGAGTCGAATCTGTACAAACACATGGATGGTGTGTGCCTATATTTGCTGAATTTTGATTCATAGCTTTTATGCTGCATTCATTCACAAACTTCTAAGGCCCACTTTTGGTTATGATATTCAACCAAGAGAATTTCTCAGTACATTCATAATATGAGTGAAAAAATCTTCTGAAAACTCCAAAATATTTTTCGGACATGCATGTTTGAACGGATCTCTTAATCAATTTTCAAGATGTTTCAGATATGAATATCCCAATATCATAGAAACGTGGAAAAACTTTGATCAGTAAAATTAAACATCTTGAAAATTTTGAGATATGCATATCCGAAATAACCTATATTCTTTTTAAAAAAATATAATAAGGATTATTTCGGATATGCCTATCTGAAACCCTTTAATTTCGTAAAAAAAGTTAATTCAAATGTTTACATCTGAAACATGCACGGGTGACAGGATAAGATTTCTTGAGTCCAAATTGCTCTATCTTTTCTATAAATATGGTCTTTGTTATTTCTCTGAAATTATGATTGGCATACATTTTGGTAAAACCAACTTGACAATAATATGTTGAACAAGATGCTCCAACTTGCAGTTTTCAACACGTCGAGTAAAGATGTCCCAACCAGGAGATAAGATATCGTGTCTGCAGCAGCTGTTAGTGATGTTTCAGCTGATTTGTAAGTTACTGAATATTTGGGAAATATTCAGTTAACTTATGTGGCATCCAAGATAGAAAGATCAGAATATTTTATGTTCGTTTTCGAAAATCTGCATGATTTCTAAATATGAAGACATTTTAGGAAATTAATAATCGAAGACCTATTTTCTTGGAGAATATTTTGTAGACTTTGTGCAGCCTCACTGTTGTGGTTTTGAAGCTCAACCCAGTCCAGAATAAAATTATAAATAGACGGGTGTATACCTAATTACAGGTGGAACTTACATGTGTATTTTGTTAGGGTTTTAGAATCCTTATTGTTGGATTGTAAGTTCTGTATAAGATGTTTATAAGCTTTTAAACATTGAACATTTGTGTGTCAGATGCTCATAAGTTGTTACACATCGAGTATTTAAGTGTCAATTCTCATAAGCTTTTAAGCATTGAGTTTTTTGTGTCTTGGAAGAGTGACTTCCAGTTTTGTTCTCTACTTGTGTTTAAAGTTTCTCCAATTGTTGAGTGTAATTTAAGAGGGATTTGAGGAGGGCCTCATATCTAGGTGTGTCTTAGGCAGAAGTTAAGAAAGGGGTAGTGATTAAGTGCATAGGTTGTAAACTAGGATGTTTTCTGTGAGGTCTACAAATTGATACCATCTAGTTAATTTCGTCCATGGCTTGATAGCCTCCAGAGTAAAAAGGTTGTTCCAAACTGGGTAAATATATCTCGTGTTATTTACTTTCAATACTATTTATTTTATCCATACATCTTGTTATTGCGTGTGAAGTCAGATCCGGTGTCTCGACATTGTAATAACAAGCTGAAAATTATAGAGTCCTCATCATTAATTTTTATCCTAAGGAAGGGAATATAACAAATAACCCTAATTTGACATAGATTCTAAGTTGTTGACTCGCTTTAGACGAAGGGAAGGTGTTAGGTACCCTTCATCTACCTTGTTCACAAGGATACTAGGGTTTGGGTTAAAGGTTTATTAATGGGGTTTTAGTTTTAATTAGAGGAACTCGCTATGATTTTTTTAAGTCGTATGCCCACGTATGAGGAATCAGAGTCCCAATTCATAGTTCACAGTTGTTTGGTTGATTTTTTTATGGGTTATAGAAATATCTCGAATTCTCCTTGAACCAAATCTGAGTGTGTGAATAGCGAAATTGTAGACAAAGTTCCCAGTCGATAAAAGACATTTCCATAATCTTTTTTTTGAAAATAAATATGTTTGAATTATGTTATTAAAGAGCAGTTAGTAATTGATTGTTTAGCTATTTTCGAATATATGATGCAATTTTGAATGAAAAATATTTAATGCACATATATAAAAAGAGTTAGTATTTTAAAAAGAGATTTTAATTAGTAAATAACTATTTTATAATTTATTAAAAATATGTTACATATTTTTGTAAAAATAAATATTAGAATTTTATTAATTATGCAAAATAATAGGTTAATGTGACAAGTTAAAAAAAATTATAATAAATAAATTAATTTTAAAAAATACGGGGGGGGGGGGGGGGGGGGGGTGTAGATTATGTTGGTTAGAAAAAACCAGGGGGTGTGAATATCAGGGCCCTAAATCCATATATTGGATTTGGGCCCAATTGCGTAGGGGGTGTAATCTTGCACATGGGTAGTAAAAAGGGTGATGCTAGAAGTAAAGGCTCAAGTCCAAATGCTGGCGTTGGCCCAGAATGCATGGAGGTCCGTGCTAAGTTTTATTTAGCAAGGAGAAACACACAGGGGTGTTAACAGGAACAGGCTTAACCCGAAGTTTTGAACGTTTGGATCGTGTACGGGCGAGTGTGTGACGTTATCATGGTCTCACGACTTTGGGGCATTTAATCAAGACCGTACAATTGGGCCTGAGGGTGCGCTGTTTGTGAAACACATGGGATTACGAAGAAATTATATTTTCGTTTCTTTTCATTTTCATCATTCTTTCTCTCTCTCTCTCTCTCTCTCTCTCTCTCTCTCTCGTTATCCTCTCTTCGATGTTCTCTCTTCCTACTACCATACAACACCAACCCTAACCCAAGTTCAGCAGCGACGATTATTTTCACGATGATGACCCCACCTAACCCTTAGACGTCAAATTGCAACAACAAAAAGCCTAAAGCTGAGTTTCAGATATTACCTCTCTGCGACTTCGTTTGTGTTGATCTTCTTCTTCTGATTTTCGTTGGATCTGCTTCCTATCCCTTCTCTTTTCGTTTGCAAGTATCAGACGAGGATGATGATGGAAGCGACGACATATTTGAAGAACTTCAAGGCGATGGCATCACTTGAGGATCTTAGGGTTTCTATTCAGAAACCCTAGATCAGTTATGCGAAGAAAGGCTCTGGTGCGATCTCACTCGTATCTTTCTCCTTCTTCTTCTTGTTCCTATGTCTTATCCTCCTAATTTATCATTCTTTCTTTCTGTTCGCAGGTATGAGGGATGACAATGATTCGGCAGATAAGGGTCGGGACTCAAAGGCGACGGTGGCGACACCACATATCTAGGGTTTCAGAAATTGAAACCTAGGTCTCTTTTCTCCTTCTTTAGTTCTTCCTTTTGCGAATTTTGTCTCCTCCTCCTCTTAGCAATTTTAGGGCTTCTTATATAGTGCTTAGGATTAGTTAATTTAGGAAATTTTTGTTTGATTTCCGTTAAAAATTAGGAATTGAATTTGATTGAGATTGTAATTAGAAATAGATTTTAGATCTGATTAGAGATTTGTTTGTAAATTAAGGTTAGAATTGATTGTGATTGATTCTGTAATTGGACGATTTGCTCTTGTAATAAGACCCAAAGATTTTATTTTCTGTGATATTTGATTGAGTTTCGTTGTAATTGATTCGATCTGATTTGCTTTGTTTTTGCATTTTTGGGCTTTTTGAATTCTGGGTAACTTAGTGATAAAGAGGATGATGAACAGGGGTCGTGGATGCAAATTAGGATTTCGTGGCCCTCTTTGACTTTAGTCAACGATTCATTTTTTTTTAAAAATTATAGTAATAATTGAATAATTGTAATAATGACAATTAATAATAAATGATAATAATAATAATTATATTAATAAATATAAAAATCATATTAATAATAACAGTTTTAATAATAGTTATAATAATAACCATAATAAACAAACAAAAAATGAAAATGGACTCTTATAAAAAAATATAAATGGGGCAATAATTGTTCAGTTATTGGGCCAACCTATTTTAAAAAATGTACCCCCTTTTGTAATTTAAAACAAAAAGTAAATGGGCTTATTACATTCCAAACGTACACCCCATATATTATTATAACTAGACCTTAATGGATCATCATATTTTGATGGTCCATTAAAGTAAGACACCTTTCTGTATAACAATACACCCCCTCTTCTTATTATGAATCAAATAGCAAGGCTTTTAGTAAATAGATGAGCCGCAAAGACTTATTGGTCCAGTCTGCCAAATGAACTAACAATACACCCTTATTT